ATATAAATAAGAAATTCAAAATAATTTTTTTTTAAAACATCTAACAATTCTCCTCTTATATGAAACATTTCTACAATATCCCACATGCACTTCCACATTGACAAAATTCTAACATTCAAAAACAAACTGCCAGTCGGAATGGATAAAAGAGGGGAAAAATTAAAAAAAATGTTTTTTAAACTGCTTCACGCTATTGAAATACTGCTAATATTTCCATCCACAGTGTGGAAGTATCTTATTTTCCATAAAATTTACAAAATAGAATACAGTTTATTTAAATCTCAAAGGCCCCTTCCATTCAATACTTAAAGAGAAACAAATTAAAACAAAAGTTTTGAGAAAAGAATCATCAGTATCAAACCTACCGGATCAACAGTTGGCAAGACATCTTTCTTCTCTAGGCCATCGACTTCCTCTTCATCTGTGCTGTATTCTTCCATTGTCTCACCACTAACAAAATGGATGACTCTCCTTGGGACTTTCTTCTTTTTTCCTATGACTCCCAGTTCTACATTTTCAAAGCCTCTCTCATTACTCATCTGTATCAATAATTAAGGGGGAAATTTTTGAAAATGAGTTTCAAATGGCAAATTTTCTTTCATATGACAAAAAAAAAAAAAAGGTTGGTTATTTTATTCTTAGGAATAAAGAATCATAAACCAGTCCTTAAACGTTTTAAAAATAAAATACATCATACATTCAAAAGAGTATGTGTGTGTGCATATTTGGCACAGTTTTAAAAATGATTAAACAAAATCTGCATACTCACCACCCAAGTGTGGCACTGTAGGATCAGCACTGGACTGCGAACCACAACGCTGGTAGTTCAAATCCACCAGATGCTCCTCAGAAACCCTATACAAGGTTGCTATGAGTCGACAGCACTTCACCACCACCACTACCCAGGTTAAGAAACAGAACTTAAATTTTTTGCTTTAAGTCAAAAGCTAAAAAATTGAGCCCTATACTTCAAGTCACAGCAATCCCACAGCTGTGTAACAGTGAAGACATGTGGGAACAGCAATCATTTTAAATAACAGCAAGTATGTAATATATAGGAAAAGGAAAAGCATATAGATTATTGTTATTGTTGATAAGTGCAGTAAAGTAGGTTTCAACTCATAGCATCCCTGTATAGGGTTTCTAAGGTTTTAAATCTTTTGTGGGGGCGGCAGAAAGCCTCATTTTTCTCCCAATCAGCAGCTGGTGGACTTGAACCACAGACCTTGTGGTTCACAGTTCAATGTTCATCCAATACACATATGTTGTTAAGTGCTGTCGAGTTAGTTCTGACTCGCAGCGACCCTGTATAGGGTTTCCAAGGTGCGGCTAGTGAGTTTGAACCACGAATTTATGGTTAGTAGTCCAGTGCTGATCCTTCAGCACCACACCAGGACTCAGATACACATATACAATGTTAAATACATAAAATTAATAGTTTCTATCGCAGAACTCACCTACATTTTTTAAATTTGAGCTTAACTATATCTGGTGTGACAAGGTCAGTGGTTCAAAATCCCCAGCTGCTCTTCGGAAACACTATACAAAATTGGTAAGAGTTGGAACTGACTCGATAGCACTAAACAGCATCAACAACAGAGATAAATTGAACTACTTTTGTTTTTCTAGAACAAAAGTAACTCAATTTAACTCTGTTGTTGTTTGTCTAGAACAAACAAAAGTAGCTCAGTTTAACTCTGAACCTTTTGTCAAAACAGGAGTTCCAAATTCAAATGTCTTTAGAGCCAAATAAAAAATGAATGAAGTTGTACAAGAAGTAGAGTCCTGGTGTGGCACTGAAGGATAAATACTGGACTGGTAACCACAAGGTTGGCAGTTCAAACTCACCAGGCTGCTCCTGGGAAACCCTAAACAGGGTGGTTAAGAGTTGGAACCAACTAAGACAGCACTTAACATACAGGAAGTGGTAGACTCTGAAGAAAGCATGCCCCAACTAAAGATATTTAAACTAAAACATTTTAAAATACTGTGCAGGTCAAATAAAACTGACTTGTAAATCAAATCTGAAAAGCATGTCAATAATTTAGTGTTATTAGCTATTTGCAGCGCTGTGAGTTACTTAATATGGACCTTCCAGCTCCAATTTTGCTGCCACCAAATGACTGCAGTGATGGTACTGTTAAAATGCTGTTGAGTTGGTTCCGACTCACAGCAACTCTGTATAGGGTTCCCAAGCAGTGGCTAGTGGGTTTGAACTGCCAACCTGAGGATTAGCAGTCCAGTGTTTAGCCTACAGTACCACACCAGGAGTCCAATGACTAGTTGTTAAGTGTCGTCGAGTCAGTTCTGACTCACAGCGACCCTATATAGGCTTTTCAAGGAGTGGCTGCTGGGTTTGAACCTCCAACCCTGTAGTTAGCAGACCAGTGCTAATCCTACAGCACCACACCAGGCTCCTAGTTAGCAAAAAAAAAAACAAAAACATTTTCTCCTGTAGATGGTGGATACAAACTGCTGACTTGCAGCTAGCAGTTGAACACTTTTATAACCAATAATTCCCTTAAAAAAACCCTTAACTGTACTATGGTCTGGGAGTCCCATGTCGCTTTACAACAAATTACTGAACCCAGCAGAGATAAAGTTTCAGAATTGGTGAAAAGGTTGGGGAGAGGAGGCATGTCTGACCTCCCCGGCTCATAGGAATCAGCCTTGGGCTGCTGCTGATGGTGACTCGCCTCCTCCCCTTGTCTTGAGAAGTTAGAGGAAGTCAGGTAACACACCTATGCCATTTCTACATGATCTCTACTCAACTTCCAAGTTTCTTAGTCAATAAAATATATACATAACAAGTCTCCCTTGATAATAAAAAGATTTTACAAGTTTTAAAACTTTAATAGTCTATGGAATTCTAATCACATACAAATTTAGTTCCCAGGGAAATTTTCATTGTACTTCATGTATACAGTCATGGAGTGCTAGTATGGTGCTGTGGGTTAATGCACTGGATTACAAAATCAGCTGAAACAAGGTTGGCAGTTCAAGTTTACCAGTCGCTCCTTGGAAACCTTGGAAACCCTATAAGGGGTCACTATGGGTCGGAAACAACTCGATGGTACTTCAAAACAACAACATATAGTCAGTCATGTTTCAAATTCATAGTAAATATATATTGCAGAAAAGGATAAAGAGATCTTTTTTTCACTGTCATTTTAGCTAAACTTGAAACTCCTAAGAAAACATTTTTTGCATCCTCTTACTAGAAGCTATTTTAAAAGGCACAATACATGTAAATGTGAAGAAAACTCTGGTAATAACACTGGTTACCCTAGAGATAGACACTAAGAAGAGGCAGTACAGATAAGGGGATGGAAAAGGAGACTTTTTCTGCTTATTTGTTTTATTCATGTATTATCATTATAATTTTTAAACTAATATGCAAGTGTATAACAAGAACAATTTTTAAACTAAGCCAAAATAAATGATGCAGGGCTACAAGACTGCTGTGATTAGAGACCACATGGGTGGGATTCTCTTGAATAACCATGAGTTCAAAAATGTTGTCTTATAAAGGCTTAACAATTGATCTCCATTTACCTGAAATAAGAGAAGAAGAAAAAAAGTTAGGAATAGTAAGAGGATGTGGAATGTATGACAAATTTCCTACATGAACAACTGCGTCCTTTGTCATGAGGCCAGAATAGCTGTACAGTGCTAACTACCTTTACTGAACATTTTAATCAAAGATTCCATAGAAGAATCCTCATCAAATGAGGAAAAATACAGAACAGAATCAACAATGTTCACAGACTGTAGATTTTGTGGAGCCAGGGATGGTGGATGAACCCCTGAAACTACTACCCTGAGGTCATCTTTAAACCTTAAGCCAAAAATATTCCCTGAAGATATCTTAAAACCAAATAGTTAAGCTTAACTAGTAACACTATATGTCTTGAGCATTATGCTCTTTCAAGAACTATCCATATGAGATGAAATTGACAACAGCAACGTGAAAAATCAGGTAAGAATTTTATGGAACAGTGGAATTATGTTAATGAGAGAGGAACAACTCAAAAAATGAGGACAAGAATGGTCACACAACTTAAAGAATGTAATTAATGTCACTAAACTGAACATGTAGAAACTACTGATTTGTTGTGTTTTGCCATTATTGTCAATAAAAGAAAAATAAATTTAAAAAAATTTTAAGTCCTCTAATTTTCAAAGTATTGTCATATTTGTAGATAAAATATAATTTGAATCATGATTACTATACAACCACAACAAAAGCTCTTTGAATTGCAGTAGTAGGAACTGGATATTACTGATAAGAATAAGGGACTAGACTTGCCTGATTTATGTAAGTGCAGTCAACTTTACTGTTACACATTTTTTGTTCTTAATTGTCTAAAGGTGTTTCTTCTCTGTCCCAAAGATAAATTTAGTCATTAGTTAGAATATGAATTCAGGCATGTCCAACCCAAAGAATGCAGGGATTGTTCCATAAGACAAAGGACGTCATTGACAACTCTATAACTGTAGATCATGCAAACATTTATGTGTATGACACTTATGGGTGTCTAGGAGTTGACTTGGGAAAAAAAATCCTAATTCTCCTTAGTCCGTTCTCAAGATTCAAACAAATCCCTACTCTTAGTAAGAGAAGAGCAGTCCCTTTATTGTGTTCTTGAACAAAACAGACAGCAAATAGATCAAATCACTCAGGCCACCTTTCTTCTCCCCTTGTTCCCCAGGGACAAGAAGCCATTCCTTCCCAATCTCATGTTTCCCCTTGAGAATGATATGCTATGACATCAACATTTCTTTAGGACCAGGTCCCTTTATTTTCTAAACAAGGGAAAGACACAGAGTTAGAGCTCAAGGAATCATAACAACTGGGTCAAAAATGTGATGCCAAAGACCCAGCGACAGTCTGGAACAGGCCAAGAGCATCACAGCACAGCAGTATGTACCATCTCCCATTACAGCCTAAGCAGTTTTCAATGCTTTTTGTAGGGCAAGCGACCACCGGCTCAATTTTTCCTTCTAAGACACAAAAGAGAAGGGGTGGCTCTCACTGGCTCAACTACCTCATCTTTCTTGTTGTTGTTAAGTCATCAAGCTGATTTCGACACACAGCAACCCTATTTATGGTTTCCCAGGAGGGTTTGAACCACTGACCTTGGGATTCAAATTAATCTTGCAGTCCAGTGCATTAACCCACAGCACCACTTCAGGACTCCAGCCATCACATTGTTGTTGTCATTTTAAGTGCCACTGAGTCGGTTCTGACCCACAACGACCCTGTGTAGGACTTCTGAGGAACAGCTGGTGGGTTTGAAGCACCAACCTTGTGGTTTAAACTGACCTTGCAGTCCTGCACATTATACTGTAGCACCACACTACAAGGGTTGCGTTAAGTTGGAATTGACTCCACGGCACACAATCAGGACCACCACTATTTAGGTTTATCATCATAAACAGGGGTCAGCAAATGTTTCTGTACAGGGCCAGGCAGTAAATATTTTAAGTTCTGTGGCACATATAGTCTCTGTCACAAGAAAGCAGCCATGGACAATAAGTAAATGAATGTCATGAGGTTTTATTCCAGTTAAACTTTATCTACAAAAAAGACAGCTGATGGGAGAGCAGTTAATCTTAAGTCCAGAAACAAAGGACCCTAGCACCATCAAGGGAGAAGAGCACACACAGAATGTGGGACTGTATCCAGAGAAGCAGTGACACCAGAGATGGAAGCAGAGATGGGGTCATGGAGAGGAGGAGCCACTTGACGACTCTACATTCATGGGAAAAGAGGGACTAAAAGATAGTGGCCAGGAGGCAGACTTGCAGGTGTAAATTATTATATATGCGTGAGTGTTTTTTTTTAAAAAAAAAAAGAGCTAAAGTGAATAGAGAGAAATACGGTGAACTGAAGGTACATGGAGGGGAATGTAATCATTGTGATGAAACAAGTTGTATGATTTGTGGAATGTACAACTGATGATCTGCCCTGTCAACTTTCACTCAATCCACAACAAAAACTTGAAGAAAAAAAGTAGCTGAGACTGACACTGAGAGGTATATGAGAGAGAGCTACAGACAACAACTATAAACACTATTACATACACAGTCCTGCAGTATCAGTTGGGTTGGTAACTGCAAGGTCAGCAGTTTGAATCTACCAGCTACTCCATGAGAAAAAGATGAGGCTTTCTGCACCGATAAAGATTTACAGCCTCAGAACTCCTATACAGGACCTCTGTGAGTCGGAACCAACACCACAGCACATTACTACCACCAATATAAGTAGATACATAGGCAGACATGCAAGTTGAACAGGTATGTGTAGGCAAACAGGATTACATACCACATGACCATGTAAAGGGTTGAGAGAGGATATTTCTACATACAAATTTGTATGTGTTCCAAATTAACTATGTATATAATAGAGCAAACAAGGGGCAAAGTTATGAAAACTTCTTAATGAGTCCTCCTCCAATCCTAATGCCACGTTCTTCATATACTCCAGCCTCTTGGACTATTTGCTCAGCATACTGATTAAGTACGGTGAAAGGATACACCTTTCCTGATTTAAAACCATACAGCACCTCCTTATTCTGTTGAAGTAACTGTCTCATGGTCTGTGTAATTTCTGCATGAGCACAATTTAGTGTCATGGAACATATTCTCTGCAACTTTATCCATAACTTGTTATGATACACACAATCAAATACATCTGCATTCAATAAAACACAAACAAGGAAAGACCTGACACTTTTACTTCTGAGAAAATTGACCAGTGAAAACTTTACGAATAGTTTCATACAGTGTGGGAAAATGAGTACCTCAGGTTGGAAGGCACTCAGAATATGACCAGGAAGAGTTGCCTGTTCAAAGTAAAACTGACCTTAATGACCTGGACGAAGTAAAGCTCTCAGAAACATCATTTGCTGTGGCAAGACGCAAAATGAGAACAGTTGCAAACATCCATTAATAATTGGAAAGAAGAATATTTGAAGTCTGAATCTAGGAAAATTAGTGGTCAAAGATGAAATGAAATGCATAAAGATCAATATCCTAGGCATTAGGGAATTAAAATGGACTGGTATTGGCCATTTTGAATTGGACAATCACATAGTCTGTCTACCAACCAGGAATGACAAACTGAAAAGAAACAGCATCATATTGTTAAAAAAAATTTCAAGATCTACCCTGAAGTACAGAGCTATCAGTGATAATATCTATATGCCTATAAAGAAAGCCAGTTAATACGACTATTGTTCAAGTTTACACACCAACAACTAATGCCAAAGATGAAGAAATTCAAGATTTTTACTAATTCTCATCACCTGAAATCGATCAACTATACAATCAAGATGCAGTGATAACTATTAGTGACTGGAATGCAAAAGTTGGAAACAAAGTAGGGTTATTTTATTGTTGCTGCTGCTGTTGTTAAGTGTCGTCTAGTCAGTTCCTAACTCACAGTGACCCTGTGTAGGGTTTCTGAGTAGCAGCCAATCTTGTGGTTAGCAGTATGCTGTTTATCCGACAGCACCACACCAGGACTAGTAGCTGGAAAACATGGCCTTAATGATAGAAATAACTCCAGATATCACATGATAGAATTTTTAAAGACTGTTCATTGGAAATACCTCTTTTCACAACAACATAAAATGTTATATGTGTGGACCTCACCAGATAGAATACACAAGATTCAATAGAATACATCTTAAAAGTTGTTGTTTGGTGCCACTGGGTCGATTTTGACACAGTGACTCTGTGCACAACTGAAGGTACACTGCCAGATCCTGCCCCATCCTCACAGACAAGTACACTTGAGCCCACTGCAATGGCACTGTGGCAATCCATCTTGTTGGGGGTCTTCCTCGTTTTCACTGACCCTCCACTTTACCAAGCATTATGTCTTTCTCCAGGAAGTGGCCCCTCCTGATAATATATTTCCGAAGTAGAGAGACAAAGTCTGGCCATCCTGGCTTCTAAGGAGCACCCTGGCTGTTCTTCTTCCAACACAGATTGGTTTGCTATTCTGGTGGTACATGGTACTTTTAATATTCTTTTCCAATACCATAATTCAAATGCATCAATTCTTCTATGGTCCTCCTCCTACAATCTTAAGAGTTGAAGACCAATATTTACATTCAAGGCCTATTATGGAATGAATTGTGTGCCCCCCAAAATGTGTTGCATTTCTGGCCCTGTTAACTGTGGATATGAACCTGTTTGGAAACATGGTTGTCTTTTGTTAGTCTTACGTTATTATCAGTGTAGGGTAGATCCTAAACCTAATCATTTTTGTGTTATAAAAAACCAATATAGAGAAAAACACAGAAAAAGACAGATGCCATGTGAAAATCATCTATAAGCAAGAAACCTGGGAGGGCTACCAAAACAAAGGTAGAGACACTGATTTGGATTTTTAGCTTCCATAACTGTAAGAAAATAAATTTCTGTTTTTGTCATCCATGTGTGGTATTTGTTCCATCACAGAAATAAGCAACAAAGAAAGGAATTATTCTGTAGGAGTCTGTATTTCAGGAGAACTGTCTTACTAAAATGGAGCTTCATTCTTATTGAGGGTGAGGAGATTTCTTAGGTTTTTACCGCCAAAATTTGTACTCCTGTGCTGGTTTCAACTAAAGCACTTCATTGGTTTCATTTGGTCAGAGATCCTTAGCTACTTTAGACTACCAAATCCCAAACAAAATAAAAATCTCTGAGCTTTACCTAACTCTACACCTGTTGCACTATCCAGTAAGAAACCACTAGCCACATGTGGCTAATGTGGCTTGAAACTCAAGATGAGCCTGAACTGTAAAACATAGTACTACAAAGAGATGAAAACTACTTCATTAATGAGTTTCTATTAATTACATGCTGAGATATTTTTACATATTAGGTTAAATAAAATATTAAAATTAATTCCACATTTAAAAAAAAACAAAACTTTGAACTGTGACTACTGGGAAACATGCAGCTCGTACAGTATTTCTATAGGACAGCGCAGCTCGGAGCCTTAGTTACCTCGTGGGTGAAATGGGGATACCACCGCTCATCTCAAGGGGGGAGTTATGAGAGTGAAATGAAATAGCGCCTGGAAACACCTACGCATAGCAGCTATTGGCTAACTTAAGGGGAGCTGTCAAGTCAGGCGTTTGCACAAGGAGAGACAGAGAAGTGATTGAAGCCTGGGTCACCAGGCTGCCAGCTACCGTAAAGGCAGCGCTTCGGGGCGGGCGGCGTGTCAGTCTGGACAATCACCCCGGAAACCCGAGGCAGCCACATAGTCTACGGCGCTGCCAGCGAAAGGGCTGGTGACCGACGCCCGCCTGGGAAAAGGCGTCCGTCCTTCAACAGTCTTAGAGAAGGCGGAGTACCGTGAAAAGGAACCCCGAAACGCACCTACAGCAGGTAGCCTGCTCCGAGGTAGACCCGGCAGGCCAAAAGGGGAGCCCGAAGACAAGGCAAAGAGACTCAGCGGCCCCAGCCCCAGCCCCAGCCAGGCGCCGCCGCCTCCCTCGGCGGCCCCACCTACCTGCCGCGCCGGGTCCCTGAATGCCGCGGCAGCCGCAGCTCCCAACGTTACGTTGGCTTCTCCTCCTTCGACACCGCTCACGGACTCCCGGTCCATGGTGGTTGCCGCCACAGGACTGCTGGTGCTGGCGAGATGGAGCGTAATGGCCGATAAGCCTACATCCATCCTCCTCCTCCCCGCCCTGCCGCCGACCGAGCCCCACAGTCAAAAAGTGGCACTCACCGGGAGCGCCCGCCTCGCGCCACGCCTGGCCACGCCACAGGGGTGGGGCCAGCCGAGACTAGGGGCGGGGCTGGCGGACGCCTAGACCTTCTAGCTCCTCAGCTGCGTCTCCCGCAAACCCAGGCCTGAAGTTCCACAGGCGCTGGCTCGCGAAGTGGGGAGGGGCCCTGAGGAGGGGGCGGAGCCTTCTAGGGCACTGCTTCCGGCCCGGCCCCCATTCAGAGCTAGCTAAGTCACTGCCTGGCACCACACGTGACGTCATACCTCCTATGTCTAACTGGATTCTTGTAGTCCGGATTACAGGGCAGTTGGACGGCACTTAACCACTCCTCAGGTGCGTTTTGTGCAATCAACCTCCTAGAGACAAGTTCCTACACTTGTAAAATGTAAACAACTACTTGTTTTAAAGGTTTGTGTTGAAATGTATTTGCTGAAAATGCTTAGTAAAAGGTGACTAGTGCTACATATTCCGTGCTAAACATGGATCTTGGAGCTCTTGTGTGGAACTGTAGAATAAGCACTGGACGGCAAATTCAGCCGTTCAAACTCACCAGCCGCTCCTGGGAAACCCTATAACAAGTCATTATGAGTCGGAATCAACTCGACGGCACTTAACAACAGGAATATTGAGGCCTGGTGTGGCGCTGTAGGATAAGCACTGGGCTACTAAACGCAAAGTTGATCCTCCAGCCACTCCTCGGAAACCCTACATAGGGTTACTGTGAGACAGAACTGACAGACAAGCCAAAATTCTCTTGAAATAAGAACCTTCCAAAATACCCTTGAAATAAAAGTTGTGAAAGTAATTTTGCTTACCCTTGTCAGAAATACATAAGTATACCAAAAAGGAAGAAAAAAAAAACATTGCCATTCGGACTCATAGCAACTCTATAAGGTTTGAACTTCCTCATAGGGTTTCCAGGGTTCTCATTACTGACGGAATGGAATGTATCTAGCCGACCTACCCTATAGGGTTTCCAGGTGTGGCGCTGTAGTATAAGCACTAGACTGCTAACCACCAGCCGCTCCTCGAAAACCCTATACATGGTCACTATGAGTTTGAGTGACGTAGCGGCACACAGCAACAACAAGGGGTTCCAAGGTTGTAAATCCTTAAGGAAGCAAACTACCACATCTTCCTTCTGCAGAGCAGCTTATGGGTTTCAACCGTGACTTTGTTGTAAGCATCCAAATATTTTAACCACTGCCCCAACAGTGCTCCTTATGATTAAGTTGTTGTTAAGTGCTGTCAAGTCGGTTCCAAGGTTCTAATTCATTACGACTCTATATAGGGTTTCCGGGGCTTTGAATCTTTGTGGGCACAGAAAGTCTCATCTTTTCTCCCTCCCGTGGAGCTGCTGGCAGCTGAAAACGCAGACTTTGTGGTTTGAAGTCCAGTGCCACTGCTCTCCTGTATAACTGTAGAAAACAGTGAGACGCTCATAAAATGAGCAGTACAGTAGCATCTTGAAATGTTTGGAGCATTTTATTATCTGTGTTTTGTTGTGAGGTGGCTGCAAGTTGCTTCCAACCCTCTGCACAACAGATCCAAACAGGGCCTAGTCTTGTGCCGTCTCACAATTGCTGTTATGTTTGAACCCATTGTTGTTCCCACTGTGTCAATCCATCTTGTTCAGGAGATCTTCCTCTATGATGTTGCCCCTCCACTTTACCAAGCATGATGTCCTTCTCCAGGGACTGATGTCTGCTGACATGTCAAAAGACATGAAGTCTCCCCATCTTTGATTCCAGGAAGTGTTCTAACTATATTTCTTGAAAAACAGATTTGTTTTTCTGGCACTCTATGGTCCTTTCAATATTCTTCTCCAGCACCATAATTCAAATGTATCAATTTTTCTGCAGTCTTCCTTGGTGGTTATGTGCCGTGGAGTCGGTTCTGACTCATAGCAACCCTGTACAGGGGTTTCCAAGGCTGTAAATCTTTACGGGAGCAGAAATCCTCATCTTTCTCCCATGGAACAGCTGGTAGTTTCAAATTGCTAACCTTGAGGTTCACAGCCTGATTCGTAACCACTACGCTACCAGAGTTCTTGCAGTCTTCCTTACTCATTATCAAATTTCCAAATGCATATGAGGCAATTGAAAGTACTAAAGTACTATGGTTTAGGTCAAGGAGCTCTGGTAGCGTAGTGGTTACGAATCGGGCTGCAAACCTTAAGGTCAGTGGTTTGAAACTACCAGCTGCTCTGCGGGAGAAAGATGAGGCTTCCTACTCCCGTAAAGATTTACACCCTCGGAAACCCTGTATAGGGTCGCTATGGGTCGGAGCCAACTCGACGGCACATAACAACAACAACAACAACCTGGTTTAGGTCAGGTGCACCTTAGTCCTCAACTGACATCTTTGACTGTAACAATTTAAAGAGGTGTTTTGCAGAAGATTTACCTAATGCAACACATCTTTTGATTTCTTGACTGCTGCTTCAGGAGTATTGATTGTAGATCCAAACAAAATGAAGGCTTTGACAACTTCAATCTTTTCTCCATTTATCATGATGTTATTGATTTGTCCAATTGTGAGGATTTCTGTTTTCTTTACTTTGAGGTGCAATCCACACTAAAAACTGTAGTCTTTGATCTTCATCAGTATTTCAAGTCCTCTTTGCTTTCAGCAAGTAAGGTTGTGTTATCTGCATGTCACAGGCTATTAATGAGTCTTCCTCCAAACCAGATGCCACATTCTGTGTGTTCCTGCTTTCTTCTTTTGATGCTGTCTGTATCATTTAATATTTTACCCATAAAATCCATCAGTATTACAATTGAGACGAATAGTTTCTTCTCTGTTTGAGAAATGCTGAGTGTGGTCTTTCCTTGTGGTTTTCTATCTCTAGGTCTTTGCACATTTTATTATAATACTTAACTTTATCTTCTCAAGCTGCCCTCTGAAGTTTTCTGCTCAGCTCTTTTACTTCCTCATATCTCCAAGTTGATTTACCTTCTCTATGCTCAAGAGCAAGTTTCATAGTCTCTTCTGACATCCAGTTTTACCTTCTTTTTATTGACCTTTTGCTTTCTTCCTATACTATGTTCGTGATGTCATCCCACAGCTCTTCAGATTTTTGGCCCTTAGTATCTAAACATCAAACCTGTTTTTGAGATGGTCTTTAAATTCAGGTGAGATATATTCAAGGTCATATTTTGGTTCTTGTGGACTTTTAAATTTTTTCTTCAGCTTCAGCCTGAACTTGCATGTGAGCAATTGATCATCTGTTCCACAGTTGGCCCCTGGCCTTGTTTTGACTGATGATATTGAACTTCTCCATTGTCTTTCCACAGATGTAGTCAATTTGATTTCTGTGTCTCCCATCTGATGAGGTCCATGTATATGGTCGACTGCCTTTTATGTTGTTGAAAAAAGATATTTGTAATAGGTTAGTGATTGGTCTTGCAAAATTCTGTCTAAATGCAATCACCATCATAGTTTCTGTCACCAAACCCATATTTTCCAACTACTGGTCCTTCTTCTGATTCCAACTTTTGCGTTCCAGTCACCAGTAATTATCAATGCTTCTTGATTGCATGTTGGATAAATTTCAGACTGAAGTTATTAGAATCCTTCAGTTTCATCAACACTGACTTTAGTGGTTGTTACTTAAATTTGAATAGTAGTTGTATTAACTCATCTTCCTTGTAAGGCTGAGGATATCAGCCTATCACATACAGCATTGTAGTTCATGATAGATCTTGAAATGTTCTTTTTGACAATAAATGAGCTGCCATTCCTCTTCAATTTCTCATTCCTAGTATAGTAAACCATATGACTATCTGATTCAGAAAGGTCAATATCAGTCCATTTCAGCTAATGCCTAGGATATTTATCTTTATGCATTCCATTTCATTTTGGACAACTTCCAATTTTCATAGATTCATACTTCGTATATTTCATGTTCCAATTATTAATGGATGTTTGTAGTTGCTTCCTCTCATTTTAAGTTGTGCCCTATCAGCAAATGAAGTTCAGAAAATCTTTGCTCCATTAGCATCATTAAGGTCAATTCCATTTTGAGAAGGCAGCTCTTCCCCAGTCATGTTTTGACTGCCGTCCAACCTGAGGGGCTTATCTCCAGCACGATATATTGCTATTCTCAAGGTTTTCGGTGGATAATCATTCAGAAGTGGTCTGCCTTGCCGTCTTCCTCTCCTTCTATGTCTTAGTCTGTAAACTCCATTGAAACCTGTCCGTCATGGTGACCCTGCTGGTATTTAAAATTCCAGTGGTAGTAAGAACATCCACACTTGCAGATGATACCCATTTGACCGGACTTCAATGACTAGATAAACAGAGCTCAATCCGAAGAAGAAAGAAGAGGGAAAAAAAAGCGTCATCTGATACAATTCGATAAACAGGACCTACACCTATAAACACAGTAGCTCAAAAGAGGAAACAAATCCCTGCTGCAAGAACTATTCCCACCCCCTCCACACAAAGAGTAGACAGGGATAGGCAACTTGGACATTGACTACCCAAAATGGGGGGAGGGATACAAATTAAGAAGTGCCTGGTTTACAAGCTTTCAAGAGGGAACCTAGATCCAAAGGGCGTGGAGGAAGGTAGAGTCTCCAGTGAATAGTGTCCAGCCTCTCCAGGAAGGGCTGATGAAGCGAAATACAGATGGGTCTCTTATGATGCAATAGTGAATAATTGTTATCAGGACTGAATGTGAGGGTTGGAAATCTAGAGGTGGACTTTTTGTAGCAAAGAGGGGAGTGATTAACTTTTCAGTCTAGGAGTGGAGGACCCTGGGACCATCGATGGAGAAGAGCAAAGAGTAGAATCCTACCCAAAGAGGCTGTGGGGCCTGAGATGGAGGCAGAGAGGACGATGTCAAGAGATGGTGTGGCTGGGGACTCGGGATGAGGAGATGGAAAGGGGCTGAGGACTGTGGTGGTTGTGGGGGGGGGTTGTGCAGGCTTACAGGGTACACCCCTTGGTTGGGTGAGGATACATGGATAGGATGGTAACTATGCCAATGAAATGATGGATGATGGAATGA